ATATCACTGGTAAATTGTAATCTTATTGCGGGTTCAATGGGAATAGAGATAATGTGAATGAGGAATTATCTCAATTAACTAATTGGTGACAAAGTTCCCTTTGAATTGAGAAGTCAAAGGATGACAGTAGTTAGAAGTAACATCACAGAACTAGTCCAACACTTAGAATTCAACCACAATATTAACACTTAGATGAGGAATTAGACATTCTCAGGGGTCCCAAGTCAGGAATTCAGAAGTAGAATGTTTGCTTTACTCCAGTCTCTGTATGCCATAAATATGTGTTTAGAGAAGGTTTTCATTTCATCCGTACACTAACTTTGTATATTTCATTGTGTTGATTATCAAAGGCATGGAATGCTCAATAGTTTGAACATGTGTATTAATGACATTAGCAACCCAGTATGAACTATTAGGGCAGTATTTCCATGCTATTTCCATGTTGCAGTAGGTGAACTGGTCCCCCAAAAGGTTAAGAATCTACTCAAGATAAAAGCTAGAGCTAGTTTTCTGAGTGAATACTTACCACAGCAAACTCCAACATGACCAAGGACATTTGAAGGAAATCCTGTTTTATTTGGCACCTTAAAGTCAGACCCAAGATAGAACTAATCATGGATTTGATAGATCTCACATTGCATGTGTATTCACAGGAGTGTTTTAAAACTGCAGTTGGGTAGGCAGTTTAAAATGACCTAAGTCCCATGTCTTATCCTTAAGTTAAAATCAAACTGTGAGTGATTGTTAAAGCTTCAAAAGTTACAATGACACAATGGTACTCAAGTGAAGATCACTGATAAAAGTTTAGGCTTAATCGTTCTTTATTCCTCTAGAAAAAGTCTTTAAAATAAGCTTCGCTCTGACAATTGAATTATTTGTTTGGATTGAAAATTCTATATATTTCTCAGTAATGTGAAGACAATGAATCAAAATTATACTTATCTTGTATTTTCTCCTTAAGAATATAGACTTCTTCTAATAATGAATTTTAAGTAATTTTGAGTTTTACAAAGAAAATTCTTAAAACTATAATCATTAAATACTGTATGTTCACCTATATGATACCCTTTATTTTCTTCATAAAAAAGTATGTATGAACTTGAGGATAAAAAAAAAAAGAAACTTTAAACTTTTTTGAAAAATGAATTTTAATTCACTGTTATAAATTTTAACCAATGTATAGAGAAGAATGATATTTAAAAAAATTTTCTCCTATTATCTTTAGTATAAAGCTAAAGATTATAAATATTTGACTGATACATGGAATAAACTACTTTAGGGTAATGATTTTAAAAATAGTTACTCTGCTTCAGTTTAAAACTTTTATCAGAAAATAATATATTTCCTATAGTGATGCTTTCTGAATGATGAATATATGCAATGACTTCATTCAATGAATACATTCAATAGCTTTGGGGAATCTACTTTCACTTAAATGATGTCAGGTCATCAAGACACCTCAAATCTTTTTTTTTAATATATATAAATTATTTTATTTTGTATAATTCTTACATCATTCTTCATTTTTGTATAAGGTATGCATTTTCATTTTGGTTATATTCCACATGCAATTCCCACCCCCTTATTCTGACCCTAATCCCTCTTTTCCGACCCCTGACCCCCACTGTAGTGTGTCTCTGGTTGCTTGTTGATTTTGATTTTTACTTTTTTGCAATTAGTCTTTTTCCTGGTCCCTTATTTAGGATGTCTAAATTCCTGCTATGAGTGAGACCATCTGATATTTTTCTTTTTCTTTCTGGCTTATTTCACTGAGCATGATCCCTTCCAGCTCCAACCATGTTGCTGCAAATTGCATGAGTTTATCTTTTTGATTGCTGAGTAATATTCCATCGTGTATATGTACCACATCTTGATCCAGTCATCTATTTTTGGGTATTTGGGTTGTTTCCATAGCTTAGCTATTGTAAATAGTGCTGTTATAAACATAAGGGTGCAGGTGCCCTTTTGAATTAATGTTTCTGTGTCCTTTGGGTAAATGCCTAGGAGTGGAGTTGCTGGATCATATGGAAGCTCCATTTTTAGCAGGTTAAGAAATCTCCACACAGCGTTCCATAGTGGTTGGACCATTTTGCACTCCCACCAGCAGTGAAGGTGAATTCCTTTTTCTCCATATCCTTGCCAACATTTGTTGTTTCTAGTTTTTTTTAATAGGTACCATTCTCACTTGTGTGAGATGGTATCTCATTGTAGTTTTGATTTGTATTTCCCTGATTACAATTGATGTTGAACATTTTTTTTTTTAACTTTTTTTTTTTTTTTATAGAGGCATGTTTTTATTTATTTATTTATTTGTTCGTTTGTTTCGTTTATACATGCACTGGGTACAGTCAGAAGCGCGGGAGGGTGAGAGAATTCACCAGAGCCAGAGCAGGGAGCAGAGCAGGCAGAAGGACAGAAGTACACTGCTGAGGGGAGCAGCGGGCGGCAGGAGAGGTCTGCGCACCATGTGGGACCCTCCTCTGGTGGCCGGGGAGCAGCCGGGAATCGAACCGGCGCTGCAGAGGCTGCGGGCAGCTTCGCAACCCAGCGCTCAACCGCTGCGCCACCGGGGAGGCCCTGAACATTTTTTCATATGCCTGTTGGCCATTTACATTTCCTCTTTGGAGAAGTTTCTTTTTAGCTCTTCTGCCTTTTTTTGACTGGATTATTTATTTTGTTTTTGTTGAGTCTCGTCAGCTCTTTGTAGATTTTTTTTTCAGATCCCACCCCCTATTTGTAGATTTTTTGATCATTCCTTTATCATTAGTGTTGTGTGCAAAAATTTTCTCCCAGTCGGTGGGGTGTCTCTTTGTTTTGGTTATTGTCTCTTTTGCTGTGCAGAAGCTCTTTAATTTGATGTAGTCCCAGCTGTTTATCTTTGCCTTCACTATCACTGCTTTGGGTGATGAAGACACCTCAAATCTTACAAAACTCAAGTCATTACTTATTTTCCTTCAGAGTCATTCTTTACTCTGTCTTTCTTATTTTTTAATCAATGGCTCCAACCTTCTATTGCTCACACCATTATAAAATCTTCACATACTCTTTGTCTCAATCATTCACCTCAACCGTGGCAAGTCAACAAGCATCAATTTGTCTTTATTAATCCTTCCTGGAGTCTGTTCATATTTCCCCAGCCAAATATTCTTACCTTGTTCAGGCATCTGTTTTCCTTTCTTGGGCAATACTGGCTTCTCTGCCTTTAATATCTCCTTAACAAACCCTCATTCAGACTGCAATCAGAGTTTATTTATTTGTTTAAAGAATCACTGTCCAGGTTAAAAAAACAAACAAACAAAAAGGAGAAATCATTCAAAGAAACCAATTATCCACAAAATAAATCCAAAACACATTTTTACTGACATTTAGGGCATTAAAATCACCTTTTCATACTCTCTGACTAGCAGTAAATGGTGATTCCTCATTATTTCAATGCCTTCCGTTTGCTAGAGAAAGGATATAGCAAAATGTCTGAGAGTACTGACTGGGGCAAAATAGGCTGGGGTTGAATCAAAGTCAGTCACTTAGAATGTGTGACTTTGGACAAGTTACTAGTTCTGTTCATTTCCCTCATGTATTGTGGTACTTTTCCCAGGAGGTTGTTTTTGTTTTTGTAAGATGCAAAGGAGAGCAGGGGAATTATTCTGTCCATGCATAAGCACAATGACCTAAGGGTCATTGTGATTTATGTCACTAACTAGTTTTGGTTGTTGCCCTGCTAATTTATAATCTCATTGGAATCTAGGGGTTCCAACAACCCTAAATAATCTGTTTCTGTATAATCAATTCATACATAGCAATAGGCAAAAGGCTATTATAATAGGCAATAGTAATAGGCAATAGGCTGCTCCAGTTGTTCTAGGGGTGGAGGTGACAGTAGGGGTAACATTTTAGTTGAAAATGGAAAACAGCATTTTGTGCTCACATACACTTACTTTTTGAATCTTGAGGTGTGTCTTGTTTGGGTGTTGGGCTTGTTTTTCACTCAGTCACTTTAGGTACAATCCCAACCCCAACCCACAGGCAAGATAAAAGTATGCACTTATTTTACATTCTGAAACCAGAAATCACAGTGAGGTGAGGACTTAAACTGACAGTGAAAACCCGCATAGCTGAGAGTCAGGACTCTTGCCTGCTTTGTGGCCATATTTCGTTATGGAAATATTTTAGTCCATAAAAGAACTTTGTGTCCCAGAATGTAAGCTGCAGGAAGACCTCTAAGATTTATGTTCTGGATGCTCTCTCAGAAGGGACACACCACTGGTCTCTGGAGCGAGTTGGCTGTGGAACTCAAGCTTTGAGGAAGGCACTCTCCCGTCAGCAGCTGGGGGCAAAATGCTTCTGGAAAGAATTTGCAAGAGTGCTGGGGTCAGTATAGAAAACTTGGCCACCTTTATAATTGTAATTATAAAAGTAGCCAGTGTAATTGCAGAAGATATGTGGGCAACAGTCAGGACTCTAGGTGATCAACATAGGGACCACTCTTTAATGAGAGTAATTCTGTCTTTTACATTGTCTTCATCAGTTTATTAAACAATCTGAATTTTAAAATAAAACATGCAGCTTATGAGAAAATTAGGCCTTTGATAAACCAGGTGGGTGGTTAAAATAAAATATCTTTGCATCATAGAACAGAAATACAAAAATGAGATATAAATGTTGACTGCCAGTAGGTATTTTCACAGGTTTGACTTGTTTCTTGATATAAGGTGAAGACCTAAGAGTTATGCATATTACAGATGAATGGACTAAACAACTAAGAGCCAGAAATTGGCCTATGATTTTAAATATATAATTTGTTCCTATAAACTTTGTCAATAAAAGTAATAAATCAATGGGGAAAAAAAAGTGCTGGGGTCTGTAGTTTGGGGGCAGGGAATGCAGGCAGGGGGAAGGGGGAAGGGCCGGACGCAGTCTGCAGACTCAGGACCTGACACACTCTCTCACACAAAAGAGGCCGGAAAGTGTCCGGAGGAAGCTGCGCGTCACGGGGGGACGGAGCTGGGACTCTGCCGCGCCCGCCCAGCCGCTCCGGGTCCCAGGCCCGCACACCCAGCCGCTTTCCCGCCACTGTCACCACCGCGGCCGCTGCCAATGAAACTCTTCCCGCTCCTAGGTGAGTGCCCAGAGCCCCAGTCCTGACATGCCACAGGGGCCCGCCGCTTACAGGGAGGGCGATTTTTCCAAGGTGGAACTCACATACCAAGTGGATTTGACTTGAGTCTCCAAGGGGAACTGACGCAGCGCTTCTCAGGATGTTTTTCTCCTTGGCCTTTCAGTTTGGAGTTTGGTATTTGGGGCCTAGGGACTAAGTCACCTTTTCATTTCCTGCTGACATAGTCCCCAAAGTCCTTGCAAAGTCTCAGACTTTGACCTTTCTTTTGGCCTCTTTTCTAGAAATTTGGGAAATCCAAGCCATTAACATTTCTAGGAGGTTTCCTGGCATTTTAAGGGGGTACTGCCACTCATACTTTGGGTTCTTTTGAGATACTGTTTTGATGATGCTGTGCAGAAAGATAAAAAATGGCATCTTGGAAGGTGAGTTAATTTCTGGTTTAGACAGTCTGTACTGTCTATGTGAGGCTGGGATTTAGAAGACTAAAATTTTAAGATCTCTAGTTACCAGATAAGGACTATTTATCTCAGAGGACTATTTTCAGAACAATAACTTGAACAATTCATAACTGTCCAGCCCTAGGCGTGCTTGACTTGAGGCCTGGGACAACAATAAAAAAGGAAGGTCCTATACTTTTCCTTATCTTTTCCTCCCAGCCCATAAAATACCACTTCCAACTTTGTTTTCAATAACTTTGAAATAAAGCCTAGTTTTCGCTTATGGTTCTTTATGCTAGTCCTGCTTATGTATTCTATATCCAGAATATCAATCTTTGACCAGTATGTTGAGTTTTAATTTCCCCTAATGGGACAAGAAATTAAAAATACTATTATGAAAAAGGTAGTTTTTAAAAAGGTCATCAGAACATAGGGAAAACAATAATTACATTTGTACTCCTGGATGTTATGATATGTTGCTCAGAAACATATCTTCAAATAATACAGTTTTAAATTTGAAAAGACCTAAATACTCGGGTTCACCTTGATTTTTTCACAGAATCATTCCCAGAAGAGTAAATTTCTTTATGATCTTGTACTTACCTTTAAAAGTATCTCAGAGTGAGCACTGATAACTATGGTCCAGTGATCTTGGAACACCCTGTACTTTATGAAGCTGGGTTATTTACTAAATTTTGCCTTGTTGAGATTTATTTGACAAACACAGGGATTGAAGAAAAATGTTTTTTTTTTTTTTTTTCACTTCCTTGCTATTGTGTTATTTAGCTAAATACTCCCTGGGGGAATTCTCATAATCCATTTATCTAAATGGAAAGAAAGAAAAGTATTTGCATCTATTGTAGTCTAATTCAACAAAGGGGGGAGTTTTTTCTTTCTCTTTTTGAAAGGTGTATTTATTTTCTTTAGTGGGTTTTTCCACTTTGCTGAATTGTACCTATACTCAAAATTGCACCAAGACACCTTGTCTCCCAAATGCAAAATGTGAAATACGGAATGGAGCTGAAGCCTGTTATTGTAACATGGGATTTTCAGGAAATGGTGTCACGATTTGTGAAGGTAAACAATTTTTATTACCTCTTTTAGATTTTATCCTAAAATTAAAAATTCTGATGTGATTGCTCTTCCCTTGTCCAGAAATTGTTTTATATTATGATGCTAGATTTCCTCTTATTGATAGAAAATCTCAATTAGTAATCCATAAGATTGAACCCCGGTACCAGAATTCGTACTTGCCTATTGATTTTTGATGATCCCGTGTATATCTTAATTTTGGTGTGAATATTAAAGATTGCCCTTTGATTAAGCTGGAAAACTGAGATGCAGACAGTTGAGTCAATACCTTTGGGACAAAGGTGCAGACTTCGTGATACAAGGCTCTGTTGGCATAGGTCATTCTCAGGAACTTGACCACATAATTTGAGGCTAATATTTAAAGTTGTTTTCCTGCATACCCTGGAGAGAGAGGGAGAACGAAATATATTATTTCCTGAGAAATCAAATCACATTTATAGAACTTCAGGCCAGAGCCCAGGGCAAGAATTCATACAGGGTCCTTCCAAGGTGAGTTTGAGCCCATGGGCTTGGTGTAAGAAACATCTGACAATCAATTTTAGTGGCTTTTTGCTTGTGGTCTCTACCAACAGCACGCCTCCTCCTGTCTTACTCAATCCTATCATTTTTAGTACAATCTAGCTTTAACTAGGTCAATAGAACAACATTGCGTAGGAGAGAGAACCACGTCATATAAATTAGTTTTAAAATATAATTAAATGGCAAATTCAAATTAAAACTGGTATTATACTCCTAAATGTATTTAAGATAGCATGGACTTTTTCTAATTAAGCCTGGGTATTGCACATTGTTAATATTGCATGTGTTTGTTTATAGCGTAAACAAGTTGCATCTCCTGATTCAATTTGATAAGCTCTTAAAAAAGATTAAATATGCAGCATATAGTAAGACTAAACCTCATCATAATTAGTTTAATGTTTAAAAAATGTAGAGCAAAGCTACAGTCGCTTAATGGCACATTAGATCAGGCATTTCTGCTTGTACATACAGTAGAGATTTGTAATGTGCTATTCTATAAGCACTACAAAACTCTCCATAAATAATCTTACATTCTTATTATGTACTTAATTGAATGACACTATGGCAAGTTGATTGTTGTGTGACCTTCAAAAATCATTACATGCATATTGTGTGTTTTTCCACTAACTAGTACAAATTGGACCATAATACTTCTCAAATAGTATTGCTTTTTGTTATTTAGATGCATTTAATGAGTGCCATCATTAACATCAATAATTTGTCAAAATTTGGACCTTCAGCATCCAGCTTATAACCACTTTTTTAATGATTTCTTTTAAAAAATATGTTTTCTATTATCCAGTGCAGTTTTGTTTTGTTTTTTTTCTTTCTTTCACTACCTACGTCAATAGCCAGCTAATAGGCAGAAAATATTTTCCTTTGAAAAAACCTACCTCAAGACCTTTTGGGTTACAATTTGTTTTTTTTTTTCTTTTTTTTTAACATTTATTTATTTATGCATACAAGAACTGGGGTACAGGTGTGGGGGGTGAGAGGTGTGGGGGGTAAGAGAATTCACCAGAGACATAGTGGGGAGCAGAACAGGCAGATCGACTGAAATGCACTGCTGAGGGGAGCAAGGGCGAGTCAGGAGAGGTCTGCTGTGCCAAGTAGGTAGCTCCCTGGTCAGGGATCAACTTGTGCTTCAGTGGCTGTGGATAGCTTCATAGGTTGCATCTTAACCCATTGTACCACCAGGGAGACCCTCTTTTCAAAGAGAATAATTTATAATGAGACTGTCTTTGCTTTTTAAATTCTTTTTAATTTAAATTCCCTTCTTATTTAAAAAGTTATCTATTCACCTGTTTTAATATTCACCAGCTGAGGTTTATGATGCCCTCCAGAAACTGTTAAAACAGTGTTTTTTATCTGTTCCACCTGTTATTAATTCATTGACAGAGTTTCGTTGTTTTTTTAGTAAGTATATTCAATATGCTTTTCAGAATTAAACTTTAAACATTATATTATCAACTGCTTAATTGTTTAGATTATATTTTGGATTTGAAGGCTGTTGTCTCCTTTTATCTCAAAAGGTAACACTTTTCAATCTTTTGCTAAAGATTGGGATTAAATCAATAAAACATAACTGGACAGAAATTTTTTTAGAGAGAATACCTACTTCTTGTCATTATCATTATCTTCATCATGTTCATAAATTTTGCCTTCTTCAGGGACTTGCCAATTAATGTTTGATAATAACCCAACCTCACTAAATGTACCCTGTTCTAAGAACTGGTTTTAGCAAGATGCTTAGAATTTAGAGTACATTGTCCCATAGAAACAAGTTTTAACAATGGTAAGACAATATTTATGGCATACTGTCAGCATCGTTATCATTAGCATTGTCATAAGGATAGCTAATACCTACTGTGACTAATCCTAGAGATTAATTAGCACAACATCTTCATCTATTATTATTCCCATTTTATCTGTAAGGAAATGGAGACTTGAAAGGTTAAGTAAACATCTCAAGTGGTTATCAAATAAATGGTGGAGCCAAGATCCGAGCCCAAGTGTATGTGACTCCATAGCCTCTACTCCTATTCATTAAGTTGACTCTCAGCCTCTGCTAATGTCCTTGGGGACATTACAGACTATCTGGGGACAACTACAGAATAATAGTAGTGACTTGACACAATGCTATGAAACTTGTGGGGGTAAATATTAGATGTGCAGCCAACTTCAGGAATGTTTTCCATGCTGAGAATTAAATAATCAATAGGAGTTTTCAAGACTGACATTGGGTCAAAGGTAAGTCAGGTAAAAGGAATCAGCAATAATAAAAACCTAGAAGTTGGAAATTTGTAGTATTTTTTAAGGCACTCGTAGTATTTCATGTTGGATGGGTATCTAGCACAGTTGAGAGGTCAATGAAGTTAGAGTGTCAAAGAGTATGGAATTTATTAATAAAGAGGAGCCATCAGCAGGTATTAAGGAGTTGAATTGCATGATAGGTTGTGTGCATTATAAGGATGCACTTTTTAAAAAAAAAAGATTTATTTTTATTTATTTATGCATATAAGAACTGGGGTGTAGGGCAGAGGTATGGGGTGTGAGAGGATTCACCAGAGACAGAGTGGGGAGCAGAACAGGCAGATTTACTGAAATACACTGCTGAGGGGAGCAGCAGGTAAGACAGAAGAGGTCTGTTGTGCCATGTAGGTTAACTGCCTGGCTGGAAATGGAACTTAAGCGATCGTGATAGTGTTGAGACTTAACCTCTATGCCACCAGGGTGGCCCACTACTAATATTTAGTAATAATTAATAAATATTGGAAGAATTAAAAATATATATCTCAATATTATTACACATACATATACATCTTGTTTCATATATAATATATGAATTCATATATTCATATAAATCCTTGAGGAAATAAATATTTTTCATAAAATAAATGAATTTTTACATACTCCAGGGAACTTCTTAGGTAAATGAATGTTGATACAAACCTGACTGTGAAGTCTGACATGCTTCTGGGTAGTTGGATATCGGGTTTGTTTTAGCGGTATATATTTCCTTGGGATTTTTGTATTGAATGAAAAATTTAACTTATTTAAGAAATAACAGTATAAATACCAAGGCTTACATTCTAGGATGCATGATTTCTGTGAACTTCATCCAAATAAATGAAATTCCTTTGCCAATTTCAAAAATCTCTTTCCTTGTTCTAGAAATCCATCCTCTTTCATCTGTTGACAAGAAAGTTTACACAATAGAAAGAACAAAATCTGCCACAATAATTAGGTGGAACTTCCTCAAAAATATCTACTCCATGAGATTATAAATTCCTTCAATATATAGAGAGAAATAAAACAATAAACCATTGTGAAAACTTCCTCTAAGCTAACTTTTTATTTTTAAACAGAGAAGGAAGATAGGATTTGTGTCATTTGAGTTTTGCTCATCAGCTTCTCAGTTTTAAAACTGAAAACTGGGCCTCCCCGGTGGCGCAGTGGTTGAGCGCTGGGTTGCGAAGCTGCCCGCGGCCTCTGCGGCTCCGGTTCGATCCCCGGCTGCTCCCTGGCCACCGGAGGAGGGTCCCACATGGCGCGCAGACCTCTCCTGCCGCCCGCTGCTCCCCTCAGCAGTGTACTTCGGTCCTTCTGCCTGCTCTGCTCCCCGCTCTGGCTCTGGTGAATTCTCTCACCCTCCCGCGCTTCTGACTGTACCCAGTGCATGTATAAACAAAACAAAACAAACAAACAAACAAATAAATAAAAAAATAAAAAAAACATGCCTCTATAAAAAAAAAAAAATAAATAAATAAAACTGAAAACTGCTTGTATCTGAGGAGTTGAATATACCATTTTTGTCAACTGAGTTTCACACTTTATTTTTCTAAAATATTTGTTTCATACTTATCTCATATTTGATGTTGGATTTTCCCAAGTTATCTATAATTAAACATCATAAAAATTTTTCATCTTATAGAAGTCCAATTTATTCAAAAATCAGTATTATCTAGTTGGATTTATTAGTATTTAGAATTAGACAACTAATGAAACCAATAATTAAACTGAAATAATAGAAATGAATATAACTTCTGAGTTCTAGTTTCAGCAATGAGAAAAAGCTATTCAAAATTTTGCTTTAAATCTATCCTAAGTATGACAATATTAGTGTGCTGATTTCCTCCTAAGTAAGGATCACTACATTTTGTTTTTACTTCAGGCTAAAACACCAGTTAATAAGTATGTATATGTATGTGTACATGTATATATAGACATATATACCCTATAATATTTGCTTATGATAAGGCACTAATGACAACAAAGGTTGCGTATTGTTTCTCTAGAATTATTTTCATTTTGTATAGAAATGACAATGGCAACTCTAACATCTCATGTTTTCCACTCAGCCATATCTTTAGAAGTTGCTGGGAAATTAAAATAAATAAAATAATTCTTTGTACATCCATTTTATTGTATTTTAATCCTCTATTGCTTTTCAAGAAAAATGACAG